ATAAATAAATAAATAAATAAATAAATAAATAAATAAATAAATAAATAAATAAAAATAAAAAGGAAATCACTATTATTATGGTTTGTTATGGATTCTAGTAAATAATTTCACATCAACGGAATATGAACTCTAAATCTAAAAGTAAAAGAGAGCATTAGCCTTGTTTGCTAACCTTTTTATAAAAGCCATGTTCATTTACTTGACCCTGTCTTTTGCTTTGTCCTTTGTGTATCCTTTTCTTGAATATCTGCAGGGCCAATATTGGAAGCCATCAGAACCTCCCAATCCTGTCAATGAAAGGTACATACTTTACCAGAATTGGGCTCGGTTTTCCGATTTTTACAAGGAGCAACCTTTACATTTGATTAGGTAAGTTCTTTACACAGGATCAGATCAATTAAAACTTGATGTGATTTTTATTCACAATGGCATCATAGTCTATTTTTTTACTACTATTTTTACCCACTACATTTCATAACTTCTTGGTTTTGTATCTACAGTATGGGTTAGCGATTCATTTGGGAGCAGAATCTTGTTGCCAAAATCTGTGAGATACAATAGAGATAGCATTATGGTTAAGAAGTTAGGCCTTGCCATTATGCTAGGCTGGATTCAAATCCAAGTTTTGCCCCTTAAAAGCTGCATAAACTTGGTCAAGTTAGTTAACCACTATGAGGCTCATCTCATCTGTTAATAGGAATAGCAATCGTACTTTCTTTATGGAGCTATTTGAAAATTAAAAGAGATATGTATTTCTTAGCATCATAACTGGCACTTAGTACTTAATCTATATTAGTTTTGTTTTTCTCCTAGAGTCCAGGAATTTAGAAGATAAGAGAAAGGTTGCATATGGATGTTTATACATGGGTTTATCTGAGAGAGCTGTTAAGACATTTGTTCTATGACCTCAATTCTTTAGACAGTTTTAGTAGCTAAGCAAGAAGATGATGGTTGCAAGTTCTTGCTTTGAAACTTAACAATACTACATACATACAGGATCTTAGGAATTTCTTGCTTTGAAAGCAAAAGGAACAGTCAGGCAGTTCCTTACTTGATGCTTACACAGCATCACAGAATCTTTTATGAGACTGACTTTGATGCACCCACCCATCTAAATCAATTGAAATGTATCTCAACAGTTTTATTTAAGGCAAATAAAAGGGAACATTAAAATAAAAGGCACCCAGACAGTTTATAAACTGGTGCATTCTGTAAAATCATTATGAGAATTCTTTCTTGGATGATATATTAATCCATTTTCTGTTGCTTATAACAGAATAGCTGAAATTCAGTAATTTATAAAGAAATGAAGTTTATTTCTGCTAGTTTGGGATGCTGGAAAGTCCAATGTGTAGGGGCATATCTGGTGAGGGCCTTCTTCTTGGGGAGCTCTGCAGAATCTCAAGAAGGTGCATGTTATCATATGGCAAGAGAGTTAGAGCATCCTAATGTACTTTCTTGATCTCAAAACTACCAGTTTCATCCCATGATAACCCATTAATTCATTAACCCATTAATCCACTTCTTAAAGGCCCTGCTTCTCAAATATCATATTGGGAATTGAGTTTCAGCATGAGCTTTGGAGGGGACAAAAATTCAAACCATTTCATATGGTTATTTTAATTGTTTTGAATAATGGTCACTTAATTTCTTGTTATAAAAATAGCACATTTAGGGGGCCGGCCTGGTGGCGCACTGGATAGTGCGCCGCTTGGGAAGCGCGGTGGCGCTCCCGCCGAGGGTTCGGATCCCACATACAGACCGGTTCCCGCTCACTGGCTGAGCGAGGCGCGGGAGCAACGCCGAGGGTTGCGATCCCGTTGCCGGTCCCCGGTCCGGTACGGGGGCAACACTGAGGGTTGCGATCCATTGCCGGACACGGAAAAAGACAAAAGACAAAAATAAATAAATAAATAAATAAAAATAGCACATTTATCAAAAAAATTTAAGTAATAAAGAGATATTAAAACTTTTAACTAAAATTCCACCTCTATTGGGCTCCATAGAAGTAACTACCCTTAATTTGGTGATATCCATTCAAACCTAGTTTTATGCGCATGCATAAAAAAAACACATACACAAATACATTTTTTTCTTTAGAGCAGTGTCATCTTTATCTCCTTTTTTATGTGCTGAGACTTCCATTTTTCATTAACTAATATATTAGTGATATTCTGATCTGTGAATACACAAAGATCTATCTCATACTTTTTAACACAGAATTCCTTATTATGATTTTTTATATTTTATTTATCAAATTTTTTATTGGAAAACATTAGGCTGTCCTAATTTTTCACTGTTGCAATCACTGTTGCCGAAAATATCCACAGACATTTTGTTCTTGGGAAATACTTCAATAGGATATTTCAAAGAACCAAAGTTATCAGAATAAAGGTTTGCATATTTTACGTTGTTCAAAATATATTGGCAGTATTTATTTACCTAACATTATTAAACTGTCTACAGGTGTCTGTGCTATAAGTATTCCCCAAACGTTGTTTTTCATAATCCTAGAAATACACAAACACATTACATCTCAGGTCAGTGCTTGTATATCTGTAATATCTTACTAATACTCACTGATTTCCTTTTACAGCAAAGAGGAAGCTCACATGTTCTGTTTAATCAAATAGACATACTATTATTATAATTGCTTTCCATTTATAGCAAGTTGTACTGCTTTTTCATTTCAACAGTGAGATAATTTTTTTAAATAAATTAAAATTTTTAACAGAAAATTTAAACTATTGATATCTGGGTATAAAGTTTTTTATTATTATTATTTATTAAGAATATTCATGAGATACAAATCTGATTGTACCCCCTCCTGCCCATGATGTAAGGGCCAAATTCATACTGGGGGCATACCCATTACCAGAAATTACTTTTGTACCCTTTGTCCACTCCCAATTATCCCCCTATATCCCTCCCTCTCCCCATTGGGTATAAAATTTTAAACTAGGTAACTGAAAAGGCAAAAAATAAAACATTTATCACAGAGGTAGCAGCTGCAGAAAAGAGCCATTATCTTTAGGGTTTCTTTTCAGTTGTTATATAAGGCAATATCTTTATTCTTGTGAATAGACAATGAAATGTTTAGGAGTAAAGGACCATAATGTATTGAATTTACTTTCTTTCATATGTTTCACAAAAAGACATTTTATATATGTATATATATGCATGAGTGTATATATGTATGTGTGTGTATATATGTATATTTCTATGTACACAAATACACATATACACACACACATATACATACATACTAGTGTGTGTATATATTTATTTATATAGAGAATGCAAATGAAGCAAAATATTTATAATAAAAGAATCAAAGAGTATATGAATGCTCTTTGAATTGTTCTTATAACTTTTCTGAAAACTTGAAATTTTTTCCAAATAGAAATTTTAATAAAAAGAGAGTCCAGAAATAGACTATCCAGGTATACTATTACGTCATTAAAGGTATTTAAATTTTTTCTTTATAAATTATTATGTCTCTAATTATTTTCTTTCATTTAATCATATTGGCTAATAACTTCAAAACAACATTAAATAGTAGTGGAGATAGTGGGTATTCTATAGTCTTGTTCCTGATCTTAGTGGAAATGTCTTTAGTGTGGTCTCATTAATTAAGAAATTATTTTTCTCCTGTACATTATTTTATCATTTCACAAGGGGGCTCAGAAATGTTTTGTTTGTTTCTTTTTTTTTAAAGTCTGATTATTTTAGCACATTATGTTCTCTGTCAGTTTTCCTGGTTCCTGGTGGATCTTTTCTATGTGTGGCTTCTGTTTGTGTTTTTTTTTTTTTTCCTTTTTGTCTTTTTTCGTGACCAGTAACAGGATCGCAACCCACGGTGTCGCGCCCACACCGCACTCAACCAGTGAGCGGACCGGTCTCTATATGGGATCCAAACCCTCGGCGGGAGCGCCGCTGCACTCCCAAGCGCCGCACTCTACTGAGTGCACCACCGGGCCGGCCCTGTTTGTGTGTTTTTTAAAATTTTTTATTATGAAAAGTTTTTGTGGATTATAGTTTTAAATATTAATTATTTTCCAGTGTTTTGATTATTTTCTTTGGACTCCAGTTATATGTATATTTTGTGTTTATTTCCTGTCTTCATTTCAAATAATTTCTTTGTAACCCTTTTTACATCTCTTTTTCATTTTTATTCTATTGATAGGTTTTCTGTTTTTCTTACTGTCCTTTTTGTTAGATTTTCACTTAACTCTCTCATTATTCTCTTTTGAGTACCTGATAATTTTAGCATCATTTCCTGTTTTTCCCCATTTCTTTTCTTAATTTTAATATTTCAGATGTTATATTCACAAATATTTATTTGAGAGTGTTAATTCAATGTGCAGTTTTATTATTATTATTATTATTACTATTATTATTATTACAGTGTTTTTCAATTGCATGTTATTCCGGGAGACTTTTTATCAGCTGAAGTTTTTTGTTTCACATTTTCTGTGTTTGTCATTGTTTTATACGGTTTTGAATGAATGTGCTCTGCTTGTTTCAATTTGTGTTTAATTCATGGACAGAATTTCCAGCACTAGAGCGCCCTCTCCTGTTAGTCCTTTCCTCTTCCAAGCAGTTTATGGATGATGGTGGACAGTTGGCATGTGCTGTTTCTTTCATTTCTACAAGATCCTGTTTCTTTCATTTCTACAAGATCCCCTCTTATTTATTTATTTATTTTTCTCTTTAATGGTACACTTTCAAGGAGTACCACTCCTCTTCTCTTGATATCTAATTCTTTGCCAGAAATATTGCTTCTCTGAGGCCGCCCCTTTCAGCCTTGCTCATTTCAGATTCTTTCTTAATTACAAAGTACCAAAATGTGTTTAGATTCTGGCATTTAGTCGAACTTTGTTCTAGGAGTTACTTGATCTGTGCTTGTCTATGTTCTCCACCCTACTTTACATTTTTTTTCCCTAGAATTTTTTTTTTTCCTTTTTGTCTTTCTTCGTGACCGGCAACAGATCGCAACCCTCAGTGTCATGCCCGTACCGGACCGGGACCGGCAACGGGATCGCAACCCTCGGTGTTGTGCCCGCACCTCGCTCAGCCAGTGAGCGGCCGGTCTGTACATGGGATCCGAACCCTCGGCGGGAGTGCCACCGCGCTCCCAAGCGGCGCACTGTAGCAGTGCGCCACCGGGCCGGCCCATTTTTCCCTAGGATTTTTTAAACATTTTCACTATTCTGTTTCTTAGATTTGTAGCAGCAGGTGTTAGAACTGGGTTTATTTTTTTAATTACAGGTAATTTCAGGATCATAGTGTTCTCTATCATGATACTGAAGATCTGTACTTGGTTTGGTGTTATTAACGCTCCTTGTTGATTTTATCATTTTTAGGAAAGATTTTGTGAGGATGTCAAAATATCCTCAAAAAGAGAATTTATTTATAGATGCATAATTACAATTCACATATTCCTTTAAATGAGAATTTATTAAGCATCACTAGATATCAGACAAAGGGCTAGGTCTACAAAGATAATCAGAAAATGGCTTGCTACCATGAATTTGTTGGCAGGAACATAAAAAATGCATAATAGTTATAACACAGTGGTACTTATAAAAGAATAAAGCACAGAGGAAAAAGCACCTGCCTTAATGACAGCCTCAGGAAAAACTTCATGACATTCATTTTTGAGCTGTGACTTGAAAGATAAGTAGCAGGATGCTAAATAAATAAGCTTAGGTAAGAAAATCCCAGGCAAAGAGAGCAAGTGCAGAGCACTGGGCTAAAGAAGAGCATTGTGCATTTAGTTCTTTATGTAGGAGGGTCAGCAAGGGAGATTTGTGTGTTACCTGGAACAAAATCGTGAACTATGCTGAGGTGAAAAGATGAAAAATTTGAAGGAGGAAGAGAACACTGTTCAATTTTTGCTTTAGAAAGATCACTCTGTTGGAAAAAAAGATAATTTAGAATAATACAAGACTCAAATCAGAAAAGTAAGGAAGCCGTTAAAATTTTCAGCAATAAATGTTGAAAATCGTATCCAAGGCACTGGTAACAGGAGGCAGAGTAGACTATGGGTTAGAAAAAGATTTTTTGTGATAAAATTTATTAGGCCTAGTGGATGATTGGATATGGAGGATTAAAAAAAAAGGAGGACAGGATGACTTGGAGTGCCTATAAAGAGATTTAGCATATAGGAATCTGAATCCCTAGATTTCACATATTTCATATTATCTCTATACCATATTTCAGTTTCATATTCAAATATTTAGGTAGTTTTTCCTGCCTTTTGGCCACTGATCATTTTGACTTACATAATATTGGGGGGAAGGGAATGGAAATACCAAGGTTGCTGTCGCTGGCTATTAGTCTGTAATTTTACACGCCCTGTCAACCCATTTTTTCTTTTCAATTTAACAGCCCCATATAATTTTTCTTCTGAAGTCACCTATTTTGGATGTTTTATTGCTTAGAAATAAAACTGATATACTGCTATATACTAAATAGCTTAGAATAAATACATTGACCATGAATGTTATGGTGCTATTATAATGCCAAGATAATATAATAGCTAAGTTTCTCAGATGTCTATGAATTCACTATAAAAATGAATCCTTTTAGAACAAACTTTTGCATTCATTTATTTATTCAAGACTGTTTTCAACTCAACTATGTCATCATTCTTTTGATTATTTACTATGTCTCAGACTAGTACATTATAGAAACACAAAATTAGACCATTTCCCTTACACAATATCTCATACCAATATTCTTGAATCTCTTCTACTTATTGGATGCTATGTTAGATGCTATGGGGCCACAGATGAGTTGAAAATCTAGTAAATGAAATGAAAAGATTAAGAAATATCATAGATATAAATATATGGCACATTTTTTTCTAAGAAAAAATAATAGTCAAAAGAAAGGGTTCTCCTTATATTTTAGTCTTTATAGAGTGTCTCATATTATTAGATTCTCTCATTTTCTTTGTTATGAATAAGATAAATATTTGTTAAACCTTAAATGTTATTTGAATAATCTATGTTTTTCCCATAATACAAATTTAAGATGTCTGTTTCTACTCTCTTAAAAGATGCATTAGTGGTTCATCTGTTACTGTTAAACTCCCCAAGTTCAAAGTTTAGTAAAATTATTTCTACACTTGCACATATGATAAATGCTCATCTGATTTCATCTAATAAATGTTCAGCAATTTCTCTTTTTAAAAACATTTCAATAATAATTACAGGCCTAGAGTTCTTGAAGGCCTTTTAATTTTTAATTCTCAAGGAATAAGATTCTTGAAATTTGAAAAAAGTAGAACTTTAAAAATAAAGTTGTTGAAATACTCACTTTCCATATGAATTACTGAGGAATTTTTAAGTTGTCTGTAGTATTAATATTGATATTATGCCTTATAAAATTATTGATTTTGGAATTTTTTAAACATCAAATGGACATAGACATAGTGAACAGAAAATTGCACAAAGTGAAATATTTTTATACTTTTTTTCTGATTTTGATGTTATTTAGTATTACAGTAATTGTTATATTTTTCCAGTAAAAACTGGGAAAAAGCATGTTCATTCACCCTAAGTGTAAGTAAACCTAAGGGAGTTGTGAATGGCGGATTAACAAGGGTATATGATGGCATTATAACTTAATTTCAGATTTATACTGATTTGGAAAGCAGAATAAGGGAAAGTAACAATGCAAAATTGCTTATCATCACTGAAAAGAATGAAAGAAGATGGTACAAGTTCTAAGATACCTCTTTAATTAGAATTGAATTTTGAAAACTGAAGAATGGGATGTTCAATAAAATTAATATTGAGTATGAGAAATATACTTTAAAATCTCATCGAGAAATGAAGATTATAACCTTTGTGTTCAGAGTGTCTTCCTTTTAAGCATGTTTATAAATTATAATTTAATATTAAATGTTTTCATAGAATTATATAACATGCTATCACAACCTAAAAAGGATCACATCTGTCTGCTTAGGGCATGGGGAAAGGCTCACTGATTTGGTGAGTGGGCTCTATGTGGATAAGTTGGAGGATTAACCCTGTTGAAAAACAGCCACCACAAAACGTGGTTTTCTGAGGCAGAGAAAACTGTGTTCTCTGTTTCCTAAAGAGGGACTTAGTTAAAAAAAAAATCAAAACAAAACACCACTTGGCTGTGAAGCTCGGACACTTATGCCAAGTAATGCTGTCACTTTTCAGCTCTTTGTAAAGCAAAAGCTGAGCTGCATATTTTACGGAATTTTTATTAAGGCATCATTTTTAATTCCTTGGTCTGCTACCTATGTCACAACTCTGTAAGCATTATTCAGAGATCCAAACTTGAAGGAAGATAGAAATTTATACATACAGTGTGGTCAGAGTACCTTCTTCAATTTGAGAAAAAAGCAGTAAAACAAAAAGTCCATGCAGATTATGAATGTGGTTTTGACTTGTTAAATAATTGCTAGAAGTTACGTTGCAGAATATTCTGTAGTTTATTTCAAAACATTTAAATTCTCTTTAAAATGTAGAAGATCTTCAAATTATCTTATTGTTTAAAATTTAAATTTAAAGTCCATTCAATTGGCTTCCTACTTATATTTGTTATCTAGTAATCCTTACACCAGTCCTTACACTATGGAATAACCATTATCCTATGTTTTTTCGTGTGGAAACTAAAGTTTAGAGAGTTACTTAGTAACTTTACCAAGATTATATGGCTAGAAAGCAGTAGAGCCAAAATTAGGGTCCATGCTTGCCTAAATATAAAGCCAAAGCTCTCTGTACTATAACATTCTTCTAACTTATGATTCTATTTTTACTCTCTTTCACAGGAAATATTATGGAGAAAAAATTGGTATCTATTTTGTCTTTCTGGGATTTTACACAGAAATGCTGTTCATTGCAGCTGTAGTTGGTTTAGCTTGTTTCATCTATGGTTTATTATCAATGGAAGGAAACACAAACAGGTAAGTGCAACTGGGTTGCCCAAATTAGAGCATCTTTATCTTATACTGACTGAAACTATTGTTACTATTTCCCTGGCATTTGCTCCAGAACGTTTCCTTATGACAGCAGCTAATTGGTATTTCTGAAAATAACCCAAACGTAGCTGGCCCCTCCCCACCTTGTGCCTTATAGGAAATCTGCTGTTCATGATGGGCTCTAAAGATTCTATTCCTAAAGCATGACTTGACCAGCTGCAGAAACTGCTGCTTCATTGCCCTCTCTGTCACATGTTAGAGTCTAAACAAATGGTTGTTCTTGTAAGAATAGCTTGGACTTTCAAACAAACACGCATCATTTTAAAAATAACTTGGCTGTTCCCTCTACAGCATTGAAATCTGTGACCCTGCGATTGGAGGTCAGATGATCATGTGCCCACTCTGTGATATAGTATGTGACTATTGGAGACTAAATTCTACGTGTTTGGCTTCCAAGGTTTGTATACATTGTGTTATGTGGAAAAGACTTGGAATTTGTCTCCTTTTATATTGCATTTGATACTAAGTGGTCTTTGTGATATTATTTTTACAGTTCTCTCATTTATTTGATAACGAGTCAACAGTGTTCTTTGCAATATTCATGGGAATTTGGGGTGAGTATAAAGTCCCATAATAAAACAGCTTTCTCCATATTATATGTCGTATGGCCCATTCATATAACATACGCAGATGACATAGCTTACATACCAAAGGTGGTTTTAAATCATTGTGTCTTAGCTAGCGTCATTACATTGAGGGAATCCACATCAATGCTCCTTGGTCCTTGATTCACAAAGGTCTCTATTGAATATCTGCTTATTTCTCTAAGAGACAATATAACTTTTGAAACATCAAATGTATTCATCTCCCACTGACTGCCAGTGCCATGGTAAAAACAGGCTGTATAAATACTTAATTGAGGACAGACTAAATATAAGTATTTGGTGGCTGGTGGATACTGAGTCATGGATACAAACTGGAATGCTTTGCAGTGAAGGGTAGGAAGTGCTTTTATACAAAACTTTTGGTTTGTTTATAATGAAAATAGATAACCATCATAGGAAATTCAAGCAATATGTAAAAGCAAATAAAAATTTTTGAAGTTTTTTTTTTTTTTT